CCCCTGTCACCTTCCTTAGCTTCCTCACTCCCCTCACCACCCCCAAAGGTGGATTCGTCCCCTGTCCCCTTCCTTAGCTTACTCACTCCCCTCCCCACACCCAAAGGTGGATTCGTCCCCTGTCACCTTCCTTACCTTACTCACTTCCCTCACCACACCAAAGTTGGATTCGTCCCCTGTCCCCTTCCTTAGCTTACTCACTACCCTCACCACAACCAAAGGTGGATTCGTCCCCTGTCACCTTCCTTCCCTTACTCACTACCCTCACCACACCAAAGGTGGATTCGTCCTCTGTCACATTCCTTACCTTACTCACTACCCTCACCACACCAAAGTTGGATTCGGCCCCTGTCACCTTCCTTAGCTTACTAACTACCCTCACCACACCAAAGGTGGATTCGTCCTCTGTCACATTCCTTACCTTACTCACTACCCTCACCACACCAAAGGTTGATTCGTCCCCTGTCACCTTCCTTAGCTTACTCACTGCCCTGTTTGGCCTTCTTGGTTATCTGTAGATTCCGAACAGCCAGACATATTGGACTGGAAATCCCCTACATTTCTATTTGGGAAATTCCGTGTCAGCCACACTTTTCTACAATATACTGATGTAAGTTAGGTATTGTCGTATACTGAAACGAACATTGTCTGTGAAAGAACCGCGAATCTACAATCAGCAGTTTTTTTTGCTGAATTACGCTATTTCTTAGTTTGATATGAAGGTCGATATTTTTTATTATGATCATTAGTGTTCCTTGTTGTTGTTTTTGGCTATCCTCAATGGTGCCTTGCTGTAACTGCCCAAATTGTCACAAAGAGGACGTGACATTACTTAGATTTGACCTCGATTTACGTGGCGGGTGTCGTCGATGAAGCAGAAAATGCTTACCCTTCCGAAACGTCTGGTCTTATTCTCCTTGTACTTTTTCAAGGTTCTCTATACTAATATTTCGTTTGGTTATATTTCACACTAGTTTTATCGATTTTGAGTTCGAGTTTTGGTTCTGTTGACACTTGGTATTATCTTTCGGCATTTTTAAAATGTGTCATGAATACTAGTTCTGGTCCTAGTATTATTGCCGCCACCATCTTAAGGAAACAATTTCGTTGTCAGATCAGCTCTCACTTGCCCTGCGCTGGCAACAAATCGAAATTATTCCGCTATTAGATGTCTCCAACTTCCTATAGACTCTTTGCACACCCATAGGGACAAACCTTGACCTTTCATCGGTCGACTTTATTTTGTTTTCATTCTTTTGGACTGAATATGTCGGAGAGCATTATCAAAGAATAATGACAGACAAATTTACAATACAAGATTTCAAAAAAGGTTTCTTGTATCCATTGTCATCTAAAAGAGAAATATATCGACGTTTTTGAGAAAAAAATGTGTGCCTTGTGATTTTCCTTTTTACTAGCCCTTGCGTCTCTTTGAGGGCGTTATATTTCTGAATTCTAGCTAGATATACATGGCACGTGTCGTGTATGACGCTTACCATCACGAAACAATGGTCTTCACCTTTCTTATACTTTTATTTTTTACTCCATGTGAACATTTCCTTGATTATGAGTTTTAATTACGGGTTTATTTCCATTTCGGTATTTCCCTGTTGTGTTTTGAACAAACCTTTTTTTTTACCAAAAACTGTGAGGACTAATATCACCTCCTAAATCGCACGCGCTTGATCACAATATCCATCCTCGCCCGCGTTGAAAAGCATATTCCACAAAATCGTCAACGACTTGGATAAGTTTTGGAAGTTGTCAATGCTTTGATAGTGAAGCGCTGGATTTCCGGAGAAGAGAAGTCCTGTGAACGTTTTTAGTTTCCAAATATGTACCAAACTCGCATTGACCTTCACTTACAAACCTTATTAAGTTTCTTATTGGTCTATTGTCCTTCCGCGTGGTGTTTACTGTTATCCTATGATGATGATAACTTATGAACAGTCCTATATTACATGAACAAATTTAAAAACAGAGTACTTACAAAGATCCAATTCTCACCAGGGCACATACGAAAGGCACCAAGAGAATACCGAAGTGCCAACAGAACCATAATTCAAACTCGAAACCGACGATAAAACTACAGCAAAATGATTTACATGAAGACCGTTGCAAAAGTGTAAAGTAATTAGGACCAGGTGTTCCGAAAGGGAAAGCGTCTTCTGTTTTATTGACGACACCCATCATAGCAATCCAGATAAAATCTTAAATAATGCCACGTTCTCGTACCATGAGCTCGTGTAGTGACAACATAACCACAAGGCACAATAAAATACAACGACCACACACGAATATTTCCAAATGACATCTTGATTGAGATCACCGACGTGTTCATATATATCTTCCCGCAATTAAGAAAGATTATCGGTAAAAAGTTATGATTAGAGAAACTAACACTGCTTTTGTTAACTCATTCACCCCTGAAATTTCACAATGAACTATTCCAACCTTTGAATTGGAAGAATTAAAATGTGTCTTAAGTGGTGAATGAGTTAATATCACCTCGTTTGATAGATTAGTGGTTGTCAACCAGACCACGTTGAATTTCGCTATATGATCGTTATCGGCGCCCTACAGAATCGGAGCTTCCTTCTATGCCTCGTGCTTCAGCAATAAAGGTGATCTACTTTATCCATTGGAACACTTTGTAGGTTCTGAGTGAATGATTGATGGTGCGTAACAACCTTGTTCCAGTTAAAATCGATAAAATTGATTTTTTTCACAACACGAAAATCTGCTATTTTTTACAACATTTTTACATTTCCTCACCTTGAGGAGCCGTTAGGACTAACGAGTGCCTTCTTATGACCTGAATGAGTTGAGGGGATGGTACGAGTACCGTGTGGCTATATATGACCTGAATGAGTTGAGGGGATGGTACGAGTACCGTGTGGCTTCATATGACCTGAATGAGTTGAGGGGATGGTACGAGTACCGTGTGGCTCCATATGACCTGAATGAGTTGAGGGGATGGTTCGAGTACCGGGTGGCTCCTTATGTCCTGAGTGAGTTGAGGGGATGGTACGAGTACCGTGTGGCTCTATATGACCTGAATGAGTTGAGGGGATGGTTCGAGTACCGTGTGGCTCCTTATGTCCCGAGTGAGTTGAGGGGATGGTACGAGTACCGTGTGGCTCTTTATGACCTGAATGAGTTGAGGGGATGATACGAGTACCGTGTGGCTCTATATGACCTAAATGAGTTGAGGGGATGGTACGAGGACCGTGTGGCTCTATATGACCTGGATGAGTTGAGGGGATGGTACGAGTACCGTGTGGCTCATTATGACCTGAATGAGTTGAAGGAATGGTACGAGTACCGTGTGGCTATATATGACCTGAATGAATTGAGGGGATGGTAAGAGTACCGTGTGGCTCTATATGACATGGATGAGATGAGGGGATGGTACGAGTACCGTATGGCTCCTTATGACCTGAATGAGTTGAAGGAATGGTACGAGTACCGTGTGGCTATATATGACATGGATGAGATGAGGGGATGGGACGAGTACCGTGCGGCTCTATATGACCTGAATGTGTTGAGGGGATGGTACGAGTACCGTGCGGCTCTATATGACCTGTATGAGTTGAGGGGATGGTACGAGAAACGTGTGGCTATATATGACCTGAGTGAGTTGAGGGGATGGTACGAGTACCGTGTGGCTCTATATGACCTGAATGAGTTGAGGGATGGTACGAGTACCGTGTGGCTCTTTATGACCATAGCTTGTTGAGAGGCCTTTGGTCCACTATTCTGTTCCGTATAACTTTGGTGTGTAAAAGGGCCATTATGATAACCCTGTGGCTCTATATGACCATAGCGTGTTGAGAGGCCTTTGGTCCACAATTTTGTTCCGTATGACTTTGGTGTGTACAAAGGCCATTATGATAATTATCTGGCTCTTTATGACCATAGCGTGTTGAGAGGCCATTGGTCCACTATTTTGTTCTGTATGACTTTGGTGTGTAAAAGGGCTGTTATGATAACTGTGTGGCTCTATATGACTATAGCGTGTTGAGAGGCCTTTGGTCCACTATTCAAAGCGCCGTTGTGACTTCACTTCGCCGTATTCCTGTATCTGTGACAGCTCCCGGCTGCACGTTCACAAGTGCCATCATATTATCGACATTACCTTCACGCGTGTGTCTCTTTAATATTCTAATAGACTATGCGGCAGTTTATTTCCCTAGGTAGTTGAAAGCTGAATCATATGTACTAAGTATTGACGTCCTTTATATGAAATGATTCAGGTGAGATGTGTTGTGTTATCAGCCAGGTAAGGAATATTCGTATAGTGGATCAATGAAACATTAAGTGACTTAATACTTTAGTACACAAGTTCTATGTGCGCAAATGTAAGCAAGTTTTATTGTGTTTCCGTTCAGATAAAACTGGTATTATAAGACACTTACCCTGTATTATTTTTCTTACAAGCATTTACTTGTGCTAAATGAAGCCAACTAATCAAGAAAAGTTTTGAGTTTTAAAATGCAATGTTTATTATCTTACAACTCATTACGACGTCATCTTTCGGTTTGACGCCAATGGTAATGCAAGCGTGAGAAAGTAGTCCGCTTTCACGCATAGTGAGATCGAGTAAAAAAGTACGGTAACTAAATCATATGTTTGGCATGCCCAGTACTGCCTCACAGAATTGAGTAACATATAGCCGCCTGGTTCATAAAGGATCGTTTTACGGAATTATTCTAATTAATGTAGCGGTCCTAATGTTAATCTGAAAGAGTATGCTTTTATCAATGCTTAACAGTATTTATGTTTCGCGTGAAAATAACTGTCGAATAAAGTTGTGTTATTAAGCATTGATAGAGAATGCAAGTACAATACATCATCAAATAGTTATTTATAGAGGTACACATCAAACGGCTCGCACAACACCCGATACAGGTTGGTTGTAGTGTATTTTATAGAAGCACATTGTCAGAAAACATTCCTCTCCGCATCTGTAATAACAATAAAACCGTAAAAATTTCAGCTATTTTTATTATTATATTAAAAAACAGTTATATTCTACAAATACACACGCTATGTACATAGGGATATATTGTATATACATGAGACCCTTCAACCTTTCCACCAATACCTAGTATCTTACTGTTCTGCTAAAATTCACTCAATTGCTCAATTCTGCAATTAAGTATCACCTGGTTTGGTAGTTATTACAAAAAGCATCAACTGATGTTAAAATGAGACACGTGCTCAAACCCATTGGAATTTCCAACGAGCATTGCGTCTTTATTATCCATTTCCAATTCATATAAAATACACCAACCTATTGATAATGTCTCGAGTCTAACTGTCGATTGTAAACAAGGCATAACTACGCATTGTTGCGATAACTCTGCCTTTCTGTCGACCAATATATTCAAAATGTTATTCTTCTGAAATTGTCCACGTTTTCATTTTTATTTCGTGAGATAACACGGAAATAATCCCTTCTAAACAAACGTGAATTAGAGTAAAGTCTTTTGTTTATTGATCAAATAACCGTTATTGTTTTATTTATTGTTATCGCTTTCCTTTCCTTATGTTCTTAAAGTGTTCAGAATTTTTCTCGAACGTTAGAACCGTCTCAGCAGATAGCGTGCCGTTGACATGCAAGTAATTGTTGATGGCCGTTCGATCGTTGTTCACGTCGCTAAATATATGACCGCTGTATCCAGGACAGATCTCAAAGTACAGGTCCACATCGTAGTTGTGGTCACTGATGTGGGCCTACAAAAAATGTATCAACAAATCATTGTTACAAACTGTATATCACAAGGTCTTATATTTCAATTTCCACTCAAGTTGGACTCAATGAAACTACCAAATCTTGTCCGTTTCACTTGCTCATGAAATTCACCAGATTAGCATTGCCTGTGCGTATGAATACGTTTTGAGATTTTGCATGGATTGTTCAAACACATTTTTTTTTTTTTTTTTTTTTTTTTTTTTTTTTAAAANTCATAATATCTTCTTTTTCAATATCAGCTATCATTACGAGATGGTCCTCCATCAATTAGTGGGGGGAAAAAACACGCTTTAATTGAAAGATAATGATTGTATTGGTCGTTTGTATAGGGTGGTTTAAAAATTGAGTTGGTATTGAGACAAATACAACATGAATTGCGAATAAAGGACCAACTCTGTCCATCACCCTACGGAACCGACCAAAGCAGGATTTTGGGGAATTGACGTTGATGTTTTTATTGCAAATTCGTACATATTTTACACCTTTGTGTAAATACGCTTCACTGGTCATTGTCTAATGAAGGTGACAGGGTACGTACTGTTCTACAAGTCATACTTACCAAACTGTAGAAAATGTTCAGAAAAAAAACCCAACAACCTTTCTTTGTAAATGTCACGAAGCTAGTGAAGGAGTTCTAGTTCTGTGACATTTTACTGTTTTAAACAAAATGTTGTTAAAAAACTTACTATTGTGTCCGCAGGATGTCCTGTAATCCACACATGTAGGTTGTCACGTGCTGGAAATATTACATATCACGAGTAAGTACGTGCTGAGGGGATTCTATATAATCAACCTTACATCGAATGCTTGTCACACAACATTTACATTAAAAACATTAATTTTTTTTAGAAAAAAGACGAATTAAAACATACAAATAAATTAAAATAAAATAAATCGATAAATATATATATATAATTAAAAAAACAAAGATCAATCGACATACTATGCTGAGCTTCCGTCGAGCGCTCGAGATATTGATGTATGTACCACCGTTAAACAGATTTTCATTGTATCATAAAATTCATTGCTGAATTTTAATAAGTGTAACATAGTCTTTCTAGAGACACTACCGACTATTATCATGAATCTGTAAATTGGCATTTAACGGCTATTGAAAAAAATATATAAACCTGAATTAGAATACTTGAGATCTCCATTGTCAGGGCACCGTACTCAGTGAGAGCAAGATATCAAATGTCACGGTACCTTGGTTAGGTATGAATTGGGGAAAAAACAAGGATACTCATTTGACTTACAGAAGGATATCCGGACGAGTTCTTCATTAAGAGTAATCTGCCAGGCGCAGCTCAGGCAGGCGTCTTTTCCCTTTTCTACTTCACCAGCTTTCCTGGAAAATGATTAGAACATAATTGTCATTTCCTTGCGCATTTTAACCGATCTTGTTGACCTTTGTGTCGGATTGTTGATATTCAGTAAATTCTACAAACAAATCCCTCTCGCTTACATTCGTGGGCATTTGATATAGAGTACTTTTACAATAACGGAGCTTTACAGAAATCTAGGTCATGTAACCTTCGTTGTCTTATTCAGATTCTTCTTAAATGAATAAATAAAACCAGTGACTTTACTATGATTTAGGTGGTTTTGTATTCAAGTATCTAACAAATATGATAAAATTGAATTAACTTTGAGTATCAAACCTGACATTCTTCGTTTATTTCTGAAAAAGTTGATAAATTTCCCTCGTTTTTCGTAAAGTGGTGCTCTCACCCCGAATGCTAAATTTCTTTTATGAATATAAAAGTAAACGTTATTGATGTTTTGCTGAGTCAGCTGTTGTGATCAGGGTAACGTATCGATGAAGGAGTCGGTCCACTGTTAACGTGTTAAAAATCAATGATGGGGTGAGAAAACAAACATACGGCTATTAGCAAATACGATCATATTGGTTTATACTTTATATGAACCCACCCTATCGAGAGGTCAGGAGTTATGAAGAATATCTGTCAACAAATGTAACGATTAGCCTTAAATACAATCAGGTCACACGTTGATCAAGTGGTTTGTGAAGTAGACAGATATAAAACAAAGTTCAAATTATTTTTTTATAGAATAATGCCAACAGTAGAGCCACAATTATATTTCAATACATTTTAACCGTTACATGTGGGCTGAATGGTTCCTGAAATACAATGTTTACATCGAGATGTTTACCATTTGTCTCTGTATGGTCGTGTCCCTTCAAGAGATGAGCAAATCAATAATTTTTATATTTGCAGTTTGTAAATTGATATAAATATGTACTAGAATTGAGATGGTGAATCACTATTAATATTTACAGCTTGTAAAGGAACATATTCTTATTTACTAGAATTTTCATTTTATTTTCAAGCATGTATATGGACATTTTTGAAATGCTACGCTAACAAAAACGAATACATACGTTTTATTACCACTCTTTTATCAGGTGTTACAATTCCTGGAATATACTTGATTAACATATTTCAAAATCAATTTGAAGATTTTCCTTTCAATTATGACAATATAACACAGGAACCAATCTGTAAAATATATAAACATTTGTGTGTCTGCGAACGTGACCTAATTGATGGCGGTGGGGTCAAGGTTTGAGCTGGTATTTGCAATAGACAATCCCACCAGCAGGCTAGTTGTCTTCAATGGCCTGATGGGGCTTCACGTCCTTGTAACGGTTATTACCGAGCCTAGGACGAAAATGTCGTCAATAGAAGGGAGGGCTATCCTATTTTATAGAAATGAAATCTGGGGTTAGATCTTCATTAAATAGGATTTGTTGATCATTTTATCAACAAGACCCTCCATAGTAGATAAGTAGATGAAGTTTATAAAATGCAAAGTATGCCATAGGGTTAACGTGATTTCAGCCGAACTATGGCTCTGATTTCCATACTATTTAGCAGGTTCTTTTACAACGATATGTATTTTATTCGATAACATGCTTTACATAATCCACAATGTAAAACAGGTCACTGTCGCCCTGTTCAAGTAGCCATAATTCGATTTTTAAAACATGTTGTCGACGCCACACTGAAATTCTAGGGTTTCGCATCTGTATCACATTAGCCTCTACCATGTAGGTTCCAGTACATCATATTGAAATGAAAAAATACAAACATCAAATGAATAAGTAGAATTGAGAGTATGATCTTCTAAACGCCGACAATTAGTCAGCGCAGTAGGTCTTATTATGACACATTCCTCAATATCAGTAACTGGCTGATGAATAAAGTATACATTACTTTTCAAACAGTTTTCAACTTTTGATTCTACTGAGTTCAAGAAGTTTCGAAGAGAAATTATTGCTCTGTTCCCTCATGATTATATGAGAGTGCCAATCAACAAGGACCAGTAACGTGAAACTTCTAAAGCAAATCAATAGTATTTGTCTTTTGCGTTCACTATCTGTTTCTTAATCCTTTGATAGTTTTCTTAATAATCAAATGATATCTTCTAGAAGAAAACTAGAGAAAATGGGCAAGGCACCGATTACATTCTTCCCTATGCATTGAGTGATCACACAAACTCTTTTCCGTAAATTACGTTTTATCATTGATCCCCTTGACCTATGTAACAAAATAGGCTGTAATTAGGTACTTAATGATGAAGAATGGAGTCATCTTATAACATGTAAGACAGTGAGTATCAATAGAGAGCAGCTCTTTGGTCAAAAGTACATTTGAGTTCAAATCTTACGATTTGGGCAACACCGTGCATTGATTGACGGAGGACTGTTGAATTGAAGATAGTGCTACAGGGCTACCATCTAGTGGTGACCAAGTCAGTCATGGATGCCATAGAGATAAGGAACGAGAGTGTGAACTCCCCGAACCAGACATGGGTAACGGTCATTTCCAAATGGTACTTCTAAGTATTGTTGTTTTGGTAGGAGAGAGTTAGATTAGAAGTTAGATTAAATTGTCGCACGTGCCTCATTACTTATGTACAATAGCTGGTACCTGTTCATGAATAGTTAATGTTGTATATAGATTGTTAAAAGTACTTTGGGCAGTTTTAAGAAGGAGTCTAGAGTGGAGAGTCGGAATACGATGTTCAAGAATGTGAGCCTCATGAGAGAGAGGCCAGGGAAGGCCTCGGCCGGAGGGGCCTGGGATGGCCCGGGCACGGCACTTGGTGTGCTTTAGAACTACGTGTTTGTTGTAAATCTATATAATATGTATGAAGGTAGATTTGCTGTCGTGTTCCAGAACTGTGTTAAAAAGGACATTTGTTGAATTTAAGAGAGAAGGCCTACTCGAGGTATAGACATTGACTGTCGCGGCAACAACGTGAAGTTAATAAAAACCCAAGTATGCATGTGTTGTCAGCGTGTTATGTTGTTACATAAGATTTAGAACCCTAAAGCTCAGTTTAATTAGTGCACGAAAGGCTATTAAAATATACACGTTTTAAAATATGAGCTCAAGAGTTTAGGATAATCACATAAACTGATTTCTAAATTTTCCAGGTTTTTCAATTTTCCGTTCCATTTTTCTATACAGAAACTGATTGGTCTAAGATGAAATCCATTTCATGATGACCTAAGCCCTTACATTATGCGACTGAAGCAGTGAAGAAGGGTTCGATTGGACTCGTTATCAAGATAAAATATTGTCGTTGCAGCATGTTTTTCAACATCATGAAATGGACGCTGTTTTCCAACAAGACAAGTTAACACCAAACTGCAGTCCTGACAACAGGATGTTTCTGAGGCATAACCATGTTCCATGTTAGATTTACCAGCAAAGTCTCAAGATCTGTAATCAACAAAACATGTTTGGAATGTTGTGTAGGAACCAGCTTGGCGTTGACAAAATGATCCCGGTTTCATTACAAGAATTTGCTAATATTTTGTATGCACGAGTTGAACAACATTCCCGCTAATGTTGGTGTTACACACGGTCTATGAGGCGACGCACCAATGCGGGGACATATCGTATTGAATCGACATGTTTTTAATGACCCATAAAAAACTGTCAAGTGTGAACGATTATTTCCACTTAATAAGTTTCAGACAGATCATACGCTACTGTTCGATGTTTTATGAAATGTACAACTATTTAAAAATATTATAATAATTTCTAAGCCAGTAACGTTTCTTTTTTTGTTGAATATCTTTATATGAGTTGATGGTGGAGGCACACAATGAGCACTTAGAGGGTATTTCAGACGTTTATAATCATGATATTAGCGATGATTATGATGACGACGAGAAGCAAACAGCTTCGGCATCAGAAACCTGCAGCACCCCCGAGACTAGCGGGAGTACAAGGTTTGTGGATGTAACATACGAGCTGACAGACACTTTAATTACTGAGATCAATAAATGACAGTAAATTAATAAAGGGACCTTTCATCAGTGATTTTCATAATGGTTCAGTTATTAGCTATAGGCCTCGGTCTGTCCTGTTAATACTTAAAGTTCGTTCTCGGGCCAATATGTTAGACATTGACCTAATTAATCCTATTTTATTAAAAATTAAAACAAAGTATCATATCAAAGGTGTTTGTTGTTGCAAAACATACTCTCATAGACCGTGGGAATCACCTCCCTTAGCATGCGACTATATATACGGCTTATAAGTCTATATTTACTGCCTGAAATCGTGATATAGAAAATCATTGCCGAGAGATAAATCAGTAGAATTTGTTAGGTGAGTTTGCAATGTGAATATAATGACTTATTGTCTCTTTTTATTGTCAACTGTCAATATCATTGTTTTATTTGCTTTATAAAGGGTCTTTTTTGTCCAAGTCTTATTCTGTTTTGATCCTTGCTCATTTAAAAAAAGAAAATGAGATAAACCGTAAAAAAAGTCCAAACAACAAATTATCTAAGACCGGTCAACTTCAGTTGTTGTTGGTTGATTTGTTTTTTTATAAAACAATGCAAGGTATGGTTAACTGTCCAGAAACTATTCATCAAAGATAAAAACGTTCGTGAAGAAATAACGCTCCATAGTTACGGTTTTTGGCAATGACCAGGGGATCATTAAATGTTCTATCAGTCAAAACGTTTAAAACCTTACTTATCTCAACACCGCATTTTTATTAACTCATTTTAACCATTTTGCTTGAAGACAAGCGATATTTATACCGGACCCAATTTATAAACAACAACATTGGAGCAGGGTTCTTTTTAACGAAAGTTGGTTAATGAAATAGATTTCTGTATCGCCTTATACAAAAAATTCAGACTCATTTCTCACGAACTATGGTCGTTCCTTTACATCTTACCAACATGTTTGAACGTGCATATGAAAAACAATTCAAAAATAGCAATAATCTTTACTAGCACTTAGCTGACTCGATGGAGAAGCGGCGTTACTTAATTCAAAGTGCCTTTGCAGG